TTCTGCGTGTAATTTAAATTTTTAATACTTAGTAATGTCATAATTCTCTGCAAAAATATGCTTTTTTTAAATTCGTGTTGCAGTGCTTGAAGGTACGGTCAGGGATGTCAATATTATTTCTCCTACTGCTACTTCAGTTGTCAGCATGTGCATGTCTGAAATTCAATCTCGTGAGAGAAAGAAATTTAATTTGATTCTCTTTGGAATTCCTGAGCATGCTGAGTCTGATACTTCGGGAAACATAGCTGAAATTTTGAAAGAAAATATTTTTAAAATTCTTGCGCCTTTTGCACCCTCTTTTGTTTCTGATATTCTTAAAGTTCAAAGACTCGGTGCTTTTGCGCAGGCGTCTCGAAAACCCAGGCCGGTGAGGATTGTGTGTGCGACGGAGGAGAAGGCACGAGCAATCCATCAAACATTTGTAGCTGCCAAAGGGAGCACGGAATATTCCCATCTATCGAACACATGGATGACTTTAAATCGAACAAAGCTCGAATTGGAGGAAATAAAATTAGTGAAAAAGGATATAGCAGCTCGTCGTTTAAATGGAGAGTCTGTGAAAATGGTGTTTCGTCAGGGAAGACCTGTCATTGTAAACACCACGATTCCAGAGGCATCTTCTTCCACTCCTCATGCGAGCGTAGTGACCATTAGTTAACTTCCCCTATCTCCCTCCAACGGTCTGTTCCATGTGATCGCCTCGTGAGTGACGTACATTCTATCTCGAGTAGTATACACCATTTATCAATTTACTACCAGAATGTCAGGGGCGTGAGAACAAAAACTGACTCTCTACGCATAGCTGTTTCTCTGTGTAGTTATGATCTTTTAATATTTAGTGAAACTTGGTTAGTTGCTTCTATAAACTCTGCCGAATTGGGTTTTATGAACTATACAGTTTATAGATTTGACAGGAATCCTGCAACTAGTGATTCACAGCGTGGAGGTGGTGTGCTAATTGCCGTCATTAATTCTATTAAAAGTACTTTAATAGATACAAAATTAGATACGGTTGAACATGTTTGTGTCAAGCTCAATTTTTTTTCAACTTTATTTATAATAGTATGTTTTTATATACCACCGAACTCTAATTTAGACATTTATTCTAGTGTTTTTCAATTATTTGAAGACATTTCTTTTTTATTTCCAAATGCTACAGTTTATTTTTTTGGTGATTTTAATCTTCCTTTCATTAATTGGTACTTTGACAACAGTTCTGATCTAATATGTTCACCGAAATTTGCTTCTTCACGCTTGTTTACAGACATATCAAATCTTATTTCTGAAACTTTGAGTTTTCTTAATTTAAAACAGATAAATCAATTTTTAAATATTTTTGGTTCACTACTGGATTTAATTTTTTGTAACGGTGATCTTTTTGATTTAAATTTAGCTTCTGATCCTATTTTGCCTATTGACTGTTATCATCCTGCGCTTATTCTTCAAATTTTTTGTAATGCTTCTAGAAGTATGTCTTCTTCGTCGTCATCTACTACTTTTAAATTTGATTTTTTTAATGCAGATTTTGGTAGTATTAACCTCTATCTTGCAAACATTGATTGGGCATTTTTAAATGACCTTGCAATTGATGACGCAGTCGACTGCTTCTATCAGCATTTGTTTAATGCAATTGAACTTTTTGTTCCAACTAAGCGAGTAAATTCTTTAATTAATCCTGCATGGTTTACTTCTAAACTTAAGAATCTTGTTTTTCAAAAGAAAATTGCTCATCTTAATTATAAAAAATTTAAATCTCATGAAAATTACGTCATTTTTTCTAATCATCGTAAAAAATGTAAATCTTTATCAAACACTTGTTATCGAGACTATTTATCTCGTATTGAGAAAGCTTTAATTGACAACCCAAATAATTTCTGGAATTATGTAAACTCGTTACGTCATAGCAATCGAATTCCTAATACAATGTTCCTCGGAGACTGTACAGCTGATAATAACTTGGATATTGCTAATCTTTTTGCTAATTTATTTGAATCGGTGTACACTTCTCCTACATTAGATGAATTTATTTTTGATAGTAATAATAACAATATGGACAGTGTCGATTTGAATACTATTTTTATTACTAAAGAGCAAATATATAATAAATTAAAATCTCCGGATGTGAGAAAGGGCGCTGGTCCCGACGGAGTTCCTCCTTCCCTTCTTCGCGCATGTTGCTGATCTTTTCTAGAGCCTCTTTTTATTTTATTTAACAAATCTCTCTCTTGTGGTATTTTCCCTTTTGAATGGAAAAAAGGCTTCATTGTTTCTATCCACAAGAGTGGTGATTTAAACAATGTTGTTAATTACCGTCCAATTACCATTTTAAATGCAATAGCTAAAGTTTTTGAAAATATTATTTTTGATATCATTTATCCTTCAGTTAAAAATTTAATTTTGGATGAGCAACATGGGTTCATGAGGGGAAGATCGACAGCTACTAACCTTAGTATTTATACTGACTATTTGTTAAACTGTGTTGAAAATAAATCTCAAGTTGACTCTATTTACACGGACTTTAAAAAGGCGTTTGACAGAGTTGACCATCACATACTTTTGGCCAGGCTGAGGGGCATGGGCTTTTCAGACATATTGATTTCTCTTTTTAACAGTTATCTTACGAATAGATATAACTCTGTTCGTGTCAATAACGTTTTCTCTAGAGCATTTGTTGCCACATCTGGTGTTCAATAATTTCAATAATTTCAATTTGAAACCTTTTCAAATTAAAATATTTCTACAAATTTTTTTCTATAACTCTTCGAAAATTGAATTATTTTCTAGGATTTTTAACTAAAATTCTTTTCGAAAACAATAATTATTTATAATAATTTTCAGAATGTTCTTTGAGAATTCAATTATTTTCTATAATTTTTAACAAAAGTTCTTCTTGAAATCAATTTTTTTTAATAACTTTCCAATATTTTCAAAGGACACCAAAAACTGAATTTTTTGTATGTTTTCTGTCAATTTTACAGTTTTCCACTATTTCTAATAAAAAATTCACAGACTTACCGACGCGTAAAAATCCTGTTATTATCGAAAGTCGTAAAAAATATCTGACTCAAAAATAAATTTTGAATAATATTTAAAACTATGTTTTCAAAATTTTGTTTTAAGGAAAAAAATAAAAATGGAAATCGAATAAAAAAGCATTTTAATCTAAAAAGTATTTCATTGCAATATTTGGAAAAAATGTCGAAAAAGTCCCTCTTTATTAAAATTATTTGAAGAAAATTGGATTTTTTGAAAATAGTGGAAAAAATTCGAAAAAGTCATACTATCCGAGGCTTAAAAATAACTAACGAATTGAATTATAATCCTTATTTATTAACTTATTTTTGAATTTTTGACGTATTTATAATTGGACATTACAAATGTAATTAAGTTTTTTCAGTTATTATCTTTTATATTTATATATTTATTAATTTTGAAATTGTTTTTACTTAGAAGCTAATTTAAAAAATTTTTTTTTTTAAATTTAATTTAAAATTTTAGAATTTAAATTTGTTTTCTTTTGTGTTTAAATAATGTGGCCTGATGAAATTATTTCCTCCATGTGAAGCCTTGTCTTCCAAATCTTCCAAATTTGCGACGCCTGGACATTAGTCAAAACGCAATAGATCTGATAGATTCACAATCATTTATGGAAACCGCAGCTCTTGAATACATTAACATCTCTGGAAATGCCTTGTCCGTAATTCACCCCTTGACATTCAAACACCTCTCAAATCTCTACGAACTCGACGTAGGGTGGAATCGACTACTGGAATTAACACCAGCCTTGCCGAGAAACATCAAACATCTCTATCTAAAGTCGGTTCTACAATAAGCCCGTCGGACGTGGTCGTGTGACATGACGCTGTTCGTGCTGACGTCACAAAGTAAGTATTGCCAACTGTTTTGAAATGTTCGACGAAAAATAATGTGAAAATAAAGTGTGAAGTATGAATAATGTTATTAAATAAATTGTAGCAATTTGATTTTATTTTCAGTTATTGTTCAATCCTGGAATATTTAATTAGTTTTAAAAAAAATGTGTGGGAATTAAATAAATTGCAAGTTAATTTACAATTGCATTTTCTTTTGAGAAAAGTGTGGTTATGTTTGCGACATATTATGTTTGTATTTTATATTTTTTGTTATTTTTCTAATAAAAGAAAAAAATAATGCAAAATATAAGTCACTTATTATTTTTACTATAAATTATTAAATTTTGACTATTTTATTTAACTACTTAATATCATTTGTTGTATCAGTTAAAACCAAATAATTTAGATGTATATAGAACTTTTAAAACCATTACTGATTTGCAATAATTGAAGAATAAAAAGAAATCGCTGCCAAGTTGAATTGTGAAATTTTGTTTTCATTGGATAAATACAAAATCTCATGCGATTTTCTTTATTTAGATCGACTATTTTTCGTGATTTTAAAATATAATTTTTTTATAATTATAATTATTATTATAATCTTGTAATATAAAATATATTTAATATGTTAAGAGTGACTACAAAAAGCAATACCAAAAGTCATATTTTTTAAGATTTTTAAAGTTTGAAAAATTAATAACTTCGTTATATTTTCGAATAAAAGTTCGCAAATATGTCAATCTATGTGGTTTAAATATTCTTTAGGTTAGTTATGTTAATTTTAAATGTACATAAATATTTTTATAAAATAATGTAAAAAATGTAGGATTATTGGAAATTTTTCAGTTTTAAAATATAAATAACTCCGGATTGGCTTACAGTGGAATGTTTGCTAATGACTTTAAAGACGCGTTTTTAAAATGTCTACAAAAAGTATAAATTGTGTAAATTAATAATTATACATTTTTCTTTATAGTTATTTATTGAATACAAAGAAGACCGCTAGTTTCAGTTTCCATTTCTATTTTGTTGAATTGTTTGACAGACTTTATTTTATTGTAAAAATACAAATCATATTAATAAATATACAATTAAAATCAATATAAATACAAATCAATAATAATAAACCTAGCGCAAAATTCCTTCCTCTGAAATAAAGTATTCGGCAAGCATATTCCTTTGTTGAAAAACACTATCAGGAATTTGAACATTTTCTTGTACGTTAGGGTTGTTTTCATCAATTAATAAATTTTGCCTGTGTTCATTTTCTTGAGTATACATTCTGTCAACTTCATCCAACAGCAATTCTTGCGTAATTATGAAATTATGCAAACAAACTAAAGCCAATACAATGGATATAGAGTTGTCAACTTTAAACTCCAATTTTTTTTTATAAATTGTCCATTTGTTTGTCCATTTGTTTGTCCATAGACCAAAGGAATCCTCAATGGTGTTTCGACCTCTGGCCAATCTAGAAATTGTTATAATTTGAAATAACATATTATAGGTTTAAAGAAATCATTTTCCTTATATGCAAACTCATAAAAACAGCTAAAATTTAAAAACAATATTTATGATTTAAAAAATTATTGAATTTTAAAAATAAAAATGTTTTCAATTCTTTTTAATTTTTTGTTTTATCCAATACACTTAAATTTAATATTCAGTTTCCCAACCAGTATACTAAAATTTAACAATCTATTATTTACAAAAAAAATTATAAATTTTTCAATTGTTTTTAATTATTATTTCCTATTTATAGCTATATATGATCCTTTCAACTAAGCTCTGGTTAAGTTTTAAAAATATGGGAAACTAAAAATAAAGAATATATTCATTATAACGTTTTATGGTTTTCTCAAAGTAATAAGTACATGGTTTTACATACGTGTTACAATTGAAGATTATGAACGTTTATTATTAAATAACTTACCTGTAATTGAAATTGTTTTCAATGTCATTAAGTCTTTGATTCCTATCATAAGGCTTCATTAGGTATCGTCTAAAAGGAAATATTGCATCTCCAATGAAGCAGTATGGTAAAACAATATTTGTCCCGGGTATTTCACCATCAGGTGGTAAATCAACTTCATTGTTTTCTAAAGCTATACTCAAATCGGTGCGCACAAATGCTGCATAGTCACTTATGGAACCTGAAATTTTAATTATTAATTTTTATACACCATATAATAATAATTATTATCTATAACATTACTTTGAAAAATTAAATTACCGTAATTTCCAACGTCCACCCAAGTAAACCTATAAAAAGCATCGCATGCTGCCAATAATTTAAAGCTACAAAACTTTTTGTAATTATAATACATGGTTCCAGAATGAGGAGGTTTTTTGATACGTATTTCCTTCCCATCGATAGCGCCAACACAATTTGGGAAATTCCACTTTTGATAAAAGCCGCGAGCAACAACTTGCCAGTCAAAAGCGTCCTTTCTCGGTAGATAAATGGGTGACAAACACTCCCAGATAATGTTACACACTTCTATTATTATTCTGTATGTAGTCGAGTGACCAATGCGAAAAAAATTTGATGTTGTTCGGTTGCTGTCACCGTTTGCTAAATATCTAAAAAACAAATAAATTACCTACAAATTCAAATAAATTTCACATTGCAACAAATTTTAACAAATAACAAAAAAATTTAATTGAATTTAAAAAATCAAAAGGAAAAAATCCGTTATAGAAGACAATTTTGAAGTACATTAAACTATTAGATGTTGGATAATCATTGTTATTAAAATGTTTTGCTGTTTCCAAAAAATACATTCGAATACATTCAAAACAAATTGATCCTAAAAGAGAAAAATTCCTGTTATAATATTCTCTCAATATATCATCTAAAAATAAGATTTTTTTTTATTTTAATGGGGGAACTTTTAAAGGATTCAGTTCATATTTTTCTTTTCAATTACGATTTTCCGTTTCAAATTTTTAATACTAAAGCAGAGAAAAAGGGAAAAAATTCGCGATTACATCTCTGTTACTTCTCAAGTCAACATAATCTAAATATTAGTGCGAAATTTTTCAAATCTGCAAATTTTTATAAGCTTAGAATTGATTTTTATATAAAAGATAGGTAAAAATGATAATTTTTTTTAATAAAATAATACATTATTTTCAAAGTACAAACATTGAATTATCTAAATTTAAATACACATATAAAACATGATTTTCTGTTTGTTCATACGAAAAATTTCATTTTATTTATTACAAATTATATTGATAGCAATGTTAATTTCATGATTTTATTTATCACATTTTTTATTTAATTTAAATATTCAATTGATTAAAATATATGACGTGCTCTAAAGAAAAGAACTTTAAAAGCAAAAAGGTTTTGGCTATTTTTTGTAATTTTTTGAGTGATAATACATGAAGAGAATCAATCATTAATACAAATCATTGATGATTATGGTTTAATTACATCCAAAATATTTAAAAAATGATTTCGTTTTCATATAATAAAAAAGAAACTTTTAATCATAATATTAATCTATCAAAAACATAACCTATAATACGTTTGCTTCTAAGGTTCTTTTCTTCGGAGCGCGTAACATATTATTTTCTTGAAATTTTAATTATTTCTTTAATATTAGTGTACATATATGCTCAAATTAAGAATATATATTTTGATATAATATACAAAAGGGAAATATAAATAAAATAAAATAAAAGGAATTGGCTTGAATGAAGATTATTTTTATAGAGTGTAATTTTGGTCTTACAAATTTTCACATTTAAAAAATACCGAACTCGTGGTGAACAGAAATCTTTAATTAAATTGTATACTTCTATTTAATTATCTTAGATTATCTTGAAGTAGAAGTATGTTATTTATCCCTCGAGAAAACTTAAATTTTATTAATAATATAAGTATTAATTAAAATTGATTAATTTATACTTACTTTAAAGTTACAATCAATCTAAGCTTTTTTGATAAAGGCCGTCTTCTGCTAACTTTTTGAAGTCTATGTGCGATCATATTATACAAAAGATTAAATTGATCTGGATTCATCCTTGTTATTCGATAAAATTCTTCATGATCACTTGTTAAATAATATAAAAAAAGATTTTGATATGCACCAAATAATTCACGCATGTTGTCTCTTATGTGAGGTTTTACCCACCACCTGCGAAGCCGAGGTCTTGTTTGACACAATTGTGAATAAAAATTGACAATATTTAACCATTGTCCTATAATAGAAATTATAAACACAGCAATAGTGATCATGATGAAAAAAAAGTTTTTTTAAAAAAATCCTTTTTTGTTGTAAGTTTTTGAAAGCACAGAAGGGAATTCTAACCAAACTCGAAACACCGTCAAAATGAGTTGGATCATTGAGATAGTAAAATGTAAATAGAAGGGTATATTTTATTGAAGAGGGAAAATTTACAGATGGAGCTGAAGTCGTTAGTTGCACGAAAATTTAAATTTTCACTTTCCTTATTTAAAAAAAGATGTAAAATATAAATAATATATAAAACCTGGACAGTTAAAAGGGAAACAATCAATATCATTATTTTACATACAATTCAGATCAGAAAGAATATCGAAATTTTTATCCAAATTTTATTTCTGTTATGTGTAAAACATACTTTACAATCATTTTTAAGTAATTATGTATTTATCAATCATTTTTCGCATAAATTTGAAGATTTTTGAATTATAATGTGGTAATATGTAACAGCAATTTTAGTATCGGTTTTTTCGATTAACAATAACTTGATTTACACTTACATATAAATTTTCAACCGAAAGATATGACTTTATATAAAAGTAACCAGTATTTTCTTATACATAAACCCTCTAACAACAAACATATCTAAGTACAATACTAATACATCACAATGAAGCGTGCTTGCAAAGATTTTTATATTGTACGATACAATAAGACACAACAATTTTTTATAGTATTATATCCATAAACTTTACTCAACAATAAAATTTTAAATATAATATTATGCTTAATGAACTCGAAAAGTAATCAAGTTCCTCATATATTAAAAGTAAATTTTTCAAAAAATTATGAGCAAGGAATTTCGGACGAAACTCGGTGGATTGATCCTTATATATTAATACTCTAAGAGCATACTTTTCTCTTATTCCTTAAATTAAAAAATTTTTTTGGTTGAGCACTTAATCTATTTTAAAACAGTCTTTGTTAAAAGTTTTTAAATTTTATGAATTACGATGTTGAAAACAATTCAATTGTGTCCAAAATTTCTGGCAGTATTTCTCGTTGCTTGTTTAAAGGTAGACGTATAAACTTTCTTTGTATAATATTGAAATAGCCATCTGCTGTTGTTGAAATGAAACTATCATTTCCACCTCTGTTTTGTTTCCAATTTACATAATTTTGTAATGTATTAGCGGTAGATATCAATGTTGGTGTTGATTAATTTCTTTTGAAAACATTGAAACTGGCACAGGCACTGGTCTTGCTTGATTGAAAAATGTAGATTTTGTCGAAACTGAAGATTTATGAGGTCTTGGAGACACCGAGTCTGAAGCAAGTGAGGGACCTGCTGAAATCGATTTTGATAAACTCAGTGATCGTTTTGAAGTAGAATCCCTAGTCGATAATGGGAGCAGTGAAGGTGAATTTACTGACGGGTTTGTCAAAACATTAAAATCAGAAAATGGATCCTCTTGCAATGGAACAGTTTTACCAAGAGAGTCAGGTGTAAAATCCAAATGTTGAGGTCTTGCAGACACCGAAGATGAAGCAATTGTGTAGCCAGATGAAATCTGTTTCGATAAATTTAATGATTGTTTGGAAAAAGTAGAATCTGCAATAGTTAATGGGAGTAATGCAGGTGAATATACTGATGGGTTTGTTGAAACATTTAAATCAAGAAATGTTTGCTCTTGCAATAGAACATTTTCACCAGGAGAGTCGCCTGGAAAATCAAAATGTTTGACATGTTTCTGTTGATCCTTATTTTTTGACGAAAATATTGTAGATTCATTTCTTGAAGGAACTGTTAAAATAATCGAATCAACTAATGTTTTTTGTTGCAGTACACCATTTTCACCAAGGGATCCGTTTGATTGTTGCGTAAAATCAAAATTTTCAACACGACTTTGTTGATCGATATTTTCCTTATCGGACCCCATAAGAAATGTTCCACTGGATTCTTCCCCATCATTTACAAGCATAAAGTCAGTTGATGATTCTGCAAAGAATTTTTTAGAATAAAATCTTTAATTAACTATTTATTATAATTTCAAATAATTATTTAAGATTTTTAGAACTTTATAATTTTCATAAACTCATATAAAAAATTCAATTTTGTGACAAATAATATTTATCTGCTTGATTTTTATAAAAAAATTTATTTAAAAATCAGTTCATTCGAGTCGCTAAATTAGATAATTAGATTTGGTACACATACTTATGTCTAAAAAACAAGTTTCGCTATCCTAGTCAATCGTTATTAGAAATAAGATTATTTAGTAATGATATAAAGAAACCAGAATTTTGAGTATCCACCTCCATGGTTTTCAAAAACGAGACAGTCTTAAATGATTTTTCACTGAAATAAAAAACGCATATACATTACGTAGATGTGAAATAATTTAGGTATCTTATTGAATTATAAATATAATTAGAGCAATACATTACTTTTTATGAGTAATAAATGGAGCCAAAAACTGGAAGTCGTGAAAATATGGCCAGTGAGTCAAATTTTTTTTATGCTTCCTCACAAATTTGTCGCGCAGTAATTGCCAATATTTTTTCGGATCTGAAGAGTAACAAATATTACTGTGAATACAATTAATAAACTTTTAATAAGCAAGGAACAATATATTTTCGTTTTCAGAATTATTATAAAAAAAATTTTAATAATAAAATTTGTTTGAACGAATTTCATCGATATGAAACAGTTCTTTTAAAAAATGTCGTAAAAATGGTAAATAATAGTCTAATTTAATTTATTAGTTTCCTCTATAAAGAATTTGTTTTTTCTTTTAATATTACAATAAAGGTTTAACAAAAATTAACATTTACAATTTTTTATTTAACAACAGTTTTAGTAAGTATAAATTATTTGGGAATAAAAACTCATGAAGTATTAAATAATGAAATAGAATTCTCAGCATTATAAAACAATTTGTGCCAATATAGTTCATAAAAGCGAAGAGTAAAAGATGATTAATAATGATAATTTTAGAATAAAAATAATTAAATTTTTCCTGCAATGATAACGACAATAAGTAAGAGTTACAATAAAAGTATTACAACTGAGCAAAAGTTTATTATCATTTATTGACATAATAACTTACCATCTATTTTGAATTCATTTTGTTGTAACAAAGTCTGTAATTTATACCAATTTTTCTGTCTCTTTGTATCATCTTTCACTTTTTTAGATGGATTGTAAATCCAATCGTTGATTTCAATTATTTTCAAAAATCGCACAACATTAGGATCTCTTTTACTGTCATCATTCATGTTCTTTTAAACAAAAAGGAAAACTTTTAAACAACCGATATTTGAAGTTTAATCAATCGCAACAGCCAAGCAAGATTAAACAAATAAACAACATAGATGGGTATAAATGAAACGCTGGCGAGATGTATGATCAATGATTTGATAGAATGATTATAGATGTCGCACAAAACTTTTTGCTTAGGGCTTAACTTTTTCAAATTACATGTGAATACACCTTTAAATAAATATCGACTTTGATATCTACAAATAACTTGATCATTATATCAAGTAGGTGAAGACACAGTTTCCACATTTCCTTGCTCTCTGTTTTCCATCACGATTATAATTGTTGAGATTCCAAGTGTTAATCATGTCTGAAATAAACGAAATCCATCAAGAGGAAATATTAATTCAGTTAGTAGAACAAAAAAAATGTTTATTTGACAAATCATCAAAAAGTTACATGGACAAAGTTAAAAAAAATCATGCCTGGGAAGATGTTGGAAATAATTTTTTCGATATAACGGGAATCCTAATTGAAAGTAAGTTCATGTATCGTTTTTAATCAATACAATAGTGCATTGTGCACCAAGTACAGATAGAAGCTGTTTTTCGACGAGTTTAAAACTGTACATTCTTGTAAAACAGCGGTTTGAAATTTCCTTGTGTGGAAATTACTTTTGTGCAATAATAATAACTCTACACGACGAAAAGCACCTTAGCTCCCAAAAACTTTAGAGTATATTTTTTATGTTCTTAGTGAAAATAAACAGAGAAAAAAAATTTTTAATACAAAACAATCATCTTTAAGTCTTTCTTATCTTCAAACAATTTGATAAAATTTAATCTGAATTTACCTAATTAACATGAAACTTTTTATGAAGTTGAAACTAGCATTAAAATTTTTGGGAGCTTAGGTGCTTTTTGTCGTATTGTGTCACATGTATATTACAAAAAAATTTTACAGGCAAACAAATTCAAAACAAATGGAAGAGATTGAAGGAAAAATATTCTGAAGAACGGAAAAAAGTAGTCATCTACGTTCCTTCTGGTTCCGCTGCTCAAGAATATGTGAGCAATTGGCCTCATTATAATGCAATGCAATTTTTGAAGCCCTTTGTTGATTCTCGAAGGTCTTTATAAAATATTAATAATTGTAGAGTAGATATAGATATTAAACATTAAAACATTTAATATAGTCACAATTAATTTATGTTTAATTCTTTAGAGTAATAATGGTTTTATCGAGACACAATTTTTTGTATCTATTCTTAGATAACTGTATTCCTAATTTTACTGTTCGATTTTAAAATAAAGAATTATTACGGCAATAATTTTATGAATAATAGTTGATTATTTTTATCTTTTTATGCAGTACAAGGTCTAATTTTAAAAGACCAGGAAAAGAAGTTGGTCAAAATATGGATGCAGTAAGCGATTCATATAGTGATTTCAGTGATTCTGATGGAGAAAATCCACAAACTTCTAGAGATGGTAGTAGCAATTTAAAGCAATTTCTTTATGAAATTTTTAGCGTCTCTTGACAGCTTTTAATTTTATTTTCTACAATTGCAGATAGCAACGATGCATCGCATGAAATAAATCCTCCAGTTGACTATAGAACAAATGATTATCTTCTGATGATAAAAGAAACATGGAAGACCTTGTCACCGAAGAAGAAAAGGAAATGCTTTGAAAAAATAGACGTTATTTTGGATGAAGCAATGAAGAAATAACTACTATGTTAAAATACATTTGTAATAAATGGAAATAAAGTTCATTTATGTGATACTTTTTTCGTTCTGCCATAATTCTATATAACTTTTTTCGATTATCTGTAATTATCTTTTTCTTTATAACTTAAATTTTCATATTTAAATCCTAATTGAATAATTGACATATTGTAAATAAATACGTTTTGGAATAGAATTATTCTAAAAAAAAGTCTACAAATGTACAATTAATTTTTTTTGTTCTCTATTTCAAAAATTGAAAACATACTATTTCTTTAAAAAAGAATAAATACTATTTATTTTCTTTAATTTTTATTATATATCAAACTTGATTTATATCATTATAATAATTTTTAATTTAATAATGACAATTATTCGTCAAAATATTTACTGCATATGAACCCAGCAAACACTGTTATATATCTGTTCTAGAACTGTTACAAATTTCTTGAGAACATGTTCTGTAACTGGTTAAGAACGTGTGAGTCACTGGTTACGCAAAACGTCGTACTCAGCAGGTATGTTCAGATATGTAACAAATCTAGAACGCGGTTACAAAGTCATTTGTAACAGTTCTAGAACTGTGTTGTAACAACTATGAAAAGTGGTATGTAACCAGTAAGGAACAGAGTTCTGTATTTGTTACATAACTAAATTACGTAACAGGGATAAAAAAATATTATGAGGCATTTTTTGTCAACGCGGACACCCCCCTCTCGCCCAAATTCTTTTCATTTTAAATTCATGTTTAATGGCTTAAATTTTAGTTAAAGGAATATACTTTTGAAATCTGAGTGGCATATTTCCAAATACAAAGGGCTAAAAAGGCCTCAAGCATTACTTTTTGGATTGTTCAAAATGAATTAGAGTAACTTTTTATTGGTAAATTTAAAGAATAACCTTTATATTGGATCCTATATTTTGTTTTTGGATATTTGCCACTCAGATTTCAAAAGTATATTCCTTTAACTAAAATTTAAGCCATTAAACATGAATTTAAAATGAAAAGAATTTGGGCGAGAGGGGTGTCCGCGTTGACAAAGAATGCCTCTATATATGTGTTACGTAAACGTATCACAGTGTAGGAACAAAAATCTATATTTGTGACATAACATTGTTTCAGTATGAATATGTATCATAGTTCTTTAAATGAGAAGAACAGTATAATGTAACAACGATCTAGTGTTGTTATACATGTTGTTCCGAAATTTCCAAGACATTTGGGTATTTTGTAACGATCTTATTTTTGAGAAAAAGAAACTTAAATGAAAGATTGTTCAGAATAACAAAATCAAAGTGCACATTTTAACATATTTTGCTATTCTGAACAAATTTTTAAATTTTTTTGTCAAAAAGGCTATTATTACGAGATATCCAGACATCCCTAAAATTTTAGGACACCCTGTACTATTGTGGTGCATAATAAAGTTGTTATTAAGTTATATAATTTATATTTAACACATTCTTATGTCATTAAAAAATTAAATGTAAATGTTTATATCGAGTTAATTTGATTTGACTTTATATATTATTATTATTATATTATATACTTTATATATATTTAAGACAAAGGACAGCTACATAACATTGTTCCTACACAGTTCTAGAACTACGTTGGAACATCACTTGCAGATCATTTGTGACTGTCGTGTTATAGACATGTTACATAACATTGTTATAGAACTGTGACGTTATCATAATATAGAACAGTTCTGTCACTCTTTTGTAACAATGTTCTAGAATTCAATGACAATGAGGTTATATAACAGATTCGTAACCAACTTGTAACAACTGTTCTGTAAAACTGTGACATCACTGTTATAGAACATTTATAGAACGTGTTTGCTGGGAATGTTTAGCATTAACAATATTTTTAAATTGGAGTTGAATTTATTTTAATTTTATACTGCATTATAATTCAATTTTTATAGTTATTTTATAATATAAAATACAAACATAATATGTCGCAAACATAACCACACTTTTCTCAAAAGAAAATGCAATTGTAAATTAACTTGCAATTTATTTAATTCCCACACATTTTTTTCTAAAACTAATTAAATATTCCAGGATTGAACAATAACTGAAAATAAAATCAAATTGCTACAATTTATTTAATAACATTATTCATACTTCACACTTTATTTTCACATTATTTTTCGTCGAACATTTCAAAACAGTTGGCAATACTTACTTTGTGACGTCAGCACGAACAGCGTCATGTCACACGACCACGTCCGACGGGCTTATTGTAGAACCGACTTAACAATGAATCGTCTCGTATCACTGCCTGGACTCGCATCCAAAGATCTTTCCCTACCAGTCTTAAGAACTCTGGACATCAGTGCAAATGGAATTGAGAGAATTATGCCGGGTACACTCAGTGGATTAGTCAGTTTAAATTATTTAAAATTTGCATAATTTTTTAAATTATTATTTAATTAACGAATTTTAATAATTTTCAAGAAAATTTCAATCGATTTGATTGTTTTTTCAATACAATTTATTTTAAAAATTCAAAAGAAGAAATTATAAGGTTTTTATGTTTTTCAAAAATATATTTTTGACACCAAACATCAGAATGTTTGTAGTAATTTTAGAAATTTGTTACTTTTCCAGTAAATCTAATAAAGTTTCCCCCTCAATATATTATATATTAGTGATGAAATATTTAAAATTTTAACATTTTTCAATTAAATAAATTTGAAATGACAAGTAATTCAATATTTCCGTAATTTGCTTTATTATATTTAAGTTCAACTATAAAGGAAAAAGACTTATGTTTCCAAGTTTTGACAAATTTGGAAATATGGTAAAATAATAATTCGAAATTAAACTTTTTCTAAGTTTCAGTAAATTATTTTCAATTTTGTTTTTATGATATTGAAAAGTGAACCGCATTTTACCTTCGACCATCGCTTTCTCGTGAAATCTTTTATAACATAATAAAATTGTTTGTCAGTTTACATGTAATGTGTCTTTTCTATGATTTGTAAAGTTATCTGAGCTTGTCTTCACTTTTCGCTAATAAACAATTTAACCAATAAAAAAATTGAAACAGAATTCTATTAGGCAATATTATCTAAGTTACTTACGTGCTAACTTTCAATTTCTATTTTTGAAAAATTCTTGACGAGAAAATAAGAAATTTATATTTTGTTAAGCGAAGTGAATTAATGAAAGTATGATTTTGTTAGAAAATAAATTCAGTTCAATGAGTATGTTACTAGTAAAAGAGAATTGAAAATTACGAATAAAGAACAAGCCTATATGGCCAAAGGAAGATGGATAAATTTGCACAAAAATTCCATTATTGTATACACTTAATCCTGAAGCAGCAAATGCTCTAGACCTGGCATCTTCCGGTTTCATGGAATTTTTTCTCGCATAATGCGTTTATCCAAAACAAACAGGAATACCTACAAAGAAAATATTAATAAAATGTTCAATTAAATACTCAAATAATATAAAAATTATTATATTTATTACAAACCCTGGCGGATTCGATTTGCGTAATGTCTACTTAACTAAGTGGACTTTAGGTAGACATTAGGTAAACATGTAAAAAAAGGTATAGAAAAGCTATTAATCGACTTATTATGATAAAAAAAAGTTGATAAAAGGGTAAATGAATGTTTATACAGTAAATTCGTACAAAATTTGTAATTAATAAAGCATTAAATAATTAATAATGAATGGAAATGTGCGCGAGGTACCTGATCAGTTCAGCTGTACAATTATTTTCGTGCTATTTTCATGAAAAGAATATAAATTAACGGCAAAAACAATTGATATTTATAAAAAAGTGTAAAATTGATTTAATTTGAGTGTTTGCAATACGAATTATTAAATAATAATTAAGTTTTTATCAAATGTGAATAGTGTTGTGAAAACCTGTGAAAACTAATGAGTTACTACATTACCGATCGCATATGATAATAAAAAGTTCTCGATGAGTGTAACAAAAAAGCTGCAATCATGTCCGTAATTTTGGACGAGAAACAATTATGAAATCAATAATTATTTGTATAACTTTATTCTGCATTTTAAAATTCACTTTTTATTTTCTTTCAAAGCAAAAGCTTGGAAGAAAACATGCTCGCACTGTATTGTAAAAACTGGTGGTGCCATCTCTGGCAATCTCGGAAATTATGTACTTGGTTAAATTGCAGCTTTTTTGTTACACTCATCGAGAACTTTTTATTATCATATGCGATCGGTAATGTAGTAACTCATTAGTTTTCACAGGTTTTCACAACACTATTCACATTTGATAAAAACTTAATTATTATTTAATAATTCGTATTGCAAACACTCAAATTAAATCAATTTTACACTTTTTTATAAATATCAATTGTTTTTGCCGTTAATTTATATTCTTTTCATGAAAATAGCACGAAAATAATTGTACAGCTGAACTGATCAGGTACCTCGCGCACCTTTCCATTCATTATTAATTATTTAATGCTTTATTAATTACAAATTTTGTACGAATTTACTCTATAAACATTCATTTACCCTTTTATCAACTTTTTTTATCATAATAAGTCGATTAATAGCTTTTCTATATGTTTTTTTACATGTTTACCTAATGTCTACCTAAAGTCCACTTAGTTAAGTAGACATTACGCAAATCGAATCCGCCAGGGAAAATACAAATATTGTTGTTGACCAAAAAATTATCTCACCAACGCAAAAACATTGTATTAGAAATGGTATATAAGCATCTTGATAATTAGCAGAAATATTGCTTGAATTTTAAATATTTGCGTCATGTTGCATTAAATATCTCAAATGATTGTTTTCTGTTTCATCTGCAATACACATCTATAAAAATAAAAGATTTTGCAACGAATAAAATCAATATTATCATATAATTTTAATATTTTCGAATATATTCTATCAACTACCTTGTAAACAAGATGCTAGATGTGAACAATTCTTTCTAACACGTTGCTGAGCAGTTTGCTTTAACACTTTTAGAAGTCTTAGTTTTATCGTAT